TCTTCCAGGGGAGGGAGGTCTGCCCTCCCCTGCCCCTATGTGTTCACTCCTGTTTGGGTAAGGAGGGATGTGAGGGACATGGGGACCCCACCTTGCCCTCCTGCCTCAATCCCCTCCCCCCAATCCTGTCTCTTCCTTGTCCTCTGGAAAATGCCAAATTACACGATGTGAATAAAAGTACAATGGGAAACCATCCTGTTCTGTACCTTGGTGGAATCTTGGTGGATCTTGGGGAAGATCAGGAAGCTCAGGTTTGTCCTGTGCCCCTCCCCAGTAGAGTATGAAATGGGGAAGTGGACTAGAGTGACTGTGAAGTGCAACCAAAGGAAAGGGGGGGCCCTGCCTGAGTGTTTTACAAAACGCTTGGTGGCTCGTGGGTTTCACTTGGGCCAGCTAGGGCGGAACTGGGCTATTGGGATGGAGGAGACTGTCCGCACCCTTGCAGGGGGGTTCAGGTGTGAGGCCGTGGCCTGCCCCTTCCTCTATTTGGCATCTGCGGTCAGCCCCAGGTCACCTGCGGAGCGGTAGGGCAGAACTACTATGGGAGCAGGGACTATCCCAGGGCTGGAGCACCTGTCGATGCTCCCCAGGGGCGAGCTGAGCCACACTCAGATTGCTGCTCCACGTAGGACTTCTATCTGGAGCCTGCGGGGCTGAAGTGGAGTAGTAGGCTTCCTGAGCACAGGTGCTCACCCACCGAGTCAGGAACAGAGGCAGGAGTGCCCAGCTCCATCCTTGGAACGCACGTTGCTAGGCCGGGGACGCTGGAACTCGGCGGCGGCGGAGCTGGCGCGGCGGCGGGGCGGGGCACGATGGCAGGGGGCGGGCGAGAGGCGGGCTTCTGCTTCGCCAGCCTCTACATAAGCGGGCAGTGGCCGCAGCTGCGCGCTGATCCTGACCTTCAGTGTGTCGGCACCAGCACTATGGCACCGTCCAGGAAGTTCTTCGTGGGGGGCAACTGGAAGATGAACGGACGGAAGAACACCCTGGGGGAGCTCATCAACACCCTGAACGCCGCCAAGGTGCCTGCAGACACTGGTGAGTGCTCTGCGAGAGCCATGGGGCCTAGTAGGCTCGGGCGTGATGGCGCCCTCTCCAGGTCCCCAAGCCGGGATCCACGCGGACCCGGTTGCCGGGCTGACGGGCGGGGATGTTGGGTTTCTGCAGCAGCCCTACAGCCCCGGGGCCCGAGCTGTATCAAGGGGAAGAACATTTGCAGGGAAGAGAGCATTTACGGCCTATAGGGCGGGAAGGGGCTGCCTAGGTCCTCTGGAGGAAGACACTCTCGGTCCAGTACTGGGGCCCCGCAGGCCCAGAGCTGGTGAAGGAATGGAGCCTGAGCCCATCGGGCGATCGCGAGAAGCAGCTTGAGCCGCGATATGTTAGGAAGGAGGCTGGATTCGCTCTCGCGCTCCCCGCTACCTGTCCCAGCAACCCGCCCTCTCGCTCCTCCATGCAAAGGCGCACGTAGCCGAAGGCTCCTCCCCATGCCTCAGGGTCGCAGATCCCTACCCCTCTGCAGCCACTGCTACTAGACTCGCTTTCCGCAGCAGGGGTTTGAGCTAGTACTAAACAGGCTGAACCCTTTGGGAATGGAGAGAGGTCTCTTAGCTTCCCGAACGTGGAACGGGAGAGTACAAGGCCTCTGTGAGCTAATGGACTCCCGGCCCACTAGCAAAGTGCTGCCCTCCATTCCCCGCCCACCTAAATCACCGAGCCACGAGTCTGGTCACAGGGGCAACCCTTTCTCTCTTAATCCCCAAAGACACAAATACACAGCAGGAGTCAGCTCCTACTCCTATTGCTGAAAATCTGTGCTTTGTTGGGTAAGGGGGTGTGGACTATTTTAGAAGTGAATCAGGGTTAACCCCCAGAGAATGCTGAGTCTGAGAGGTGCCCATGCCCAGAATAGCCCAAGGAAATTGAAGCCACAGCTGTTTAAAGAGCAGAGGGCAGGGTGAGAGCTGTAGCCCGTCGGGGGCGTTTGGATGGCTCCGGAGTTGGGTGCAGGCCCAGGCTGAGCTGGGAAGTGAACAAAGGTCATCCAGCTGGGGTGAAAAGAAGAGAGCAGAAGTAAGGAGGGAGGGAGTGCTGGGGGACTCTTGGCGTGTGTGTGTGGGGGGGCTTTTGTGAATCTCATCTGTTGCCACCATCTCATGCCCAGAGGTGGTTTGTGCGCCCCCCACTGCCTACATCGACTTCGCGCGACAGAAGCTGGATCCCAAGATAGCTGTGGCTGCGCAGAACTGCTACAAAGTGACTAATGGGGCCTTCACTGGGGAGATCAGGTGAGAGGGATGGAGTAGGTACATAGCTCAAGGGAAAACCACAAGGTAGGCTCCCTCCTGAATTTAGCTTATCTATTCCCTCAGCCCTGGTATGATCAAAGACCTTGGAGCCACATGGGTAGTCCTGGGCCACTCGGAGAGAAGGCACGTTTTTGGGGAGTCAGATGAGGTGAGTGGTGACCCGGACAGAATGTAGGAGATGCCCTATTTCTAGAAGGTCTTACCAGGTCTGTTCCTTAACAGCTGATTGGACAGAAGGTGGCCCACGCCCTCGCAGAGGGACTAGGAGTAATTGCCTGCATCGGGGAGAAGCTTGATGAAAGGGAAGCTGGCATCACGGAGAAGGTCGTTTTTGAGCAAACCAAGGTCATCTCAGGTATCTCCAGAGAAAGTTTGTGCCTTGGAGGGGTGGGCAGAGACAGAAGGTGTGGGAGTCACACACCCTTCAGCCTGCCTTAAGGAGGGTTCCTTGCTTCCTCTGCATTTTTATGTCCCTGACATTAGATGCCACGCAGAGATTCCTCAAAGCCACCAGGGGGCAGTAGGCCATGTTTCCTCTGGATAGCACTTTCATAGTCACCCTTTATGATCTCTGTCCTACAGATAACGTGAAGGACTGGAGCAAGGTAGTGTTGGCCTATGAACCTGTGTGGGCCATTGGCACCGGCAAGACGGCAACACCTCAACAGGTACCTGGGCCCGGGAGTCCTGCCCTCATCCTGTCTTGCCTCAGAACCAAATAGAGACCATCTGGGCCAGCCTCTCATTTTGTTTTATTTTTAAAGAGGCATAAGATGGATTTATCATAGGAAGAGCACACACTCCAGTGGAGTTCGGGTGCTCAAAGACGAGGTGCAGTACAGTTGGGACCTGGGGATTTTTGTGTACTTTGGGTGGTAGAAATTTAGAATTCCATAATTTCAGTCTTAGTCAAAGAGGCTGGGAGAGGACCACCCACTCTTGGTGAGCTATTCCTGTGGGCAGTGCGAGGATAGCCCCTTGTGGGTGAAAGAGGGCCATGTGCAAGTAAAGTGGAACAGGCAGATCCTTTTGCAGCTAGGAGCCTCCCAAGTTTGCAGTTTGGGGAGAAAGAAAAAGCTGAACACAGGCTTGTGTTCTGAAGCTGCAGTTATTCTTTAATGGATAACTTAAAATTTGAATTTCTTTGTCTCCTTCTTGCCTATTCTGTCCTCCCTAAGCCACTCATTTTAAAGGTGGAACCCCAAAGCCTAGAGGGATATGGAGACTTATTCCAGGGCATCCATTCCAGGGCCTGTTTGGGATGAGAACCTTGGCATTCCAACTCGGGTCCCAAGGTTCTTGCTTGGGAACCAAACTAACTACTGGTGCCAGGGAATTTCCTGTTTGGCTGAGAAGCAAGATAGGTCCTACTTAGTCTTTCTCATTCTAGGCCCAGGAGGTACACGAGAAGCTCCGGGGATGGCTTAAGTCCAATGTCTCTGATGCAGTGGCTCAGAGCACCAGGATCATTTACGGAGGTGAGTGGCATTAGCATCCCACCTGGGGGGGGGGGGGTGGAGCCCCCTTAGGCATGGGGGCAGGGATAGAATGCACTCACCTTTCTCCCCCTTCCCAGGTTCTGTGACTGGGGCAACCTGCAAAGAGCTGGCAAGCCAGCCTGATGTGGATGGCTTCCTTGTGGGCGGTGCTTCCCTCAAGCCCGAATTTGTGGACATCATCAATGCCAAACACTGAGTGCCATCATTTGCCCTACCCTTTCTGCTAAGCCAGGGGACAGACAGCCTGGAAGCCCATCACTGCCCCTCCCCCATGCTTCTGATGATGTCATCTGCCCTCTAGCAGCCCAATGGAGTGCACGTTCCTTGAGTGTTTACACCTCCCCATAATGATTGGGACCGGGACCAGACCAATCCTTTCACCACTTACTGGGATTAGAGCTGCAAGGTAGCTTCTCCTAGGCTTAGAGACAGGAGTGGAGCTTGCTCATGGTCCCCCTCGGGCCCTGCTGAGGGCAGTAGAGAAGTCATCCTCTCCATCACTCCTTGATAGTCCTCCTTCAAGAGGCAGAGATGCTCCCCTCCCACAGGGCTGACCCCGTGTGTGCTGTGTCTGCACACTGTCTCACATGTAAGGGAAATAAACACCTAGCACTAAGACCTGTGCTTGACTTTCACTGTACTTGCCTATATTTATTATTATTTTTTTTAATTTTATTTGTGTGTGTGTGTGGCCAGCTCAGCCCACCAGGGGGCGGGGCTGGCTGGCATGTGGTGCTGGGGGATTGAACCATGGTCCCTTTGCTTTGCTAAGCTTGTTCTAAGTAGGTGCTTTAGACCACTGAGCCATCTCACCAGCCCCTTTATTTATTATTTTTTGAGACAGAGACTTCCTACATAGTTTAGGCTGGCCTTAAACTCATAGGCTGACCCTCCTGCCTCAGCTTCCCTAGTGCTGGGATTACAGTTCTGTGCTACCACATATAGCAATTTTTTTTTTTTTTTTGGTGGAACCCGGGATTGAACTCAGGCCCTGGTGCTTGCCAGGGAAGTGCTTATTCCACTGAGCCATCTCCCCGGGCCCTTGCAATCTCCTTTTTAAGGCAGTCACAGGACTTCATCACTTGTGGAAAAAAGAATAGCAAAACCAAATAACCATGAATAGATTTCTATAACATATCTTTTTTTTATCTTTTTAACGTTTTCTTTTTTGGGGGGTACAGGGAATCAAATTCAGGACCTCATGCTTGCTAGGCAGGCACTGTACCACTGAGCTAAATCCCCAGCCCACCTTATTTTTACTTGAAAAAGATCTTGAATACCCAGCTTTGTACAGCCTGGAATATCTTCTCACCAGGCTGGTCTGGGTGCCTGTGGTCCTGTTGAGCTCCCCAGAGCAGAAAGCGCCCAGCCTTCACTGGCTCTATAGATCCAGGATTGGGGTGGTATCACTGGTAGAGCAGGTATCGCTTCATGGCAAGGGGCAAGGGCAGAGTAGACACTTGGCCAAGCCGGGTATCCCCCAGGGTGTGGCGCACACACAGGCGGCTCAGGTGCAGAAGGGAGTGTGGCTCCGCTGGGGGAGAGAAGGAAGGGAGGTTAAGCAGAGTGTAGGTATGGTCAGTCCTCACACTGCAAGATCCTGCCTAGCTTCTGCTTTCCTGCTCGAGCCTGTCTCTTCCCTGCTGAGGGAGATTTTGGGCTCTTGGGAGTTATGTATTGCCCGTCCCTAGTCTTCCGGAGGTAGACTCCAAAGTCCCTCCAAGCAGCAGGCCAAGGTAGGTCCTAGGCAGAGCTGGCTCAGGATTGGATTCCAGAAAGGCCATTAGAGCTGGTCTTAGGAAGCAAAACGAAGGCTGACCTTTCTCCACTGTGCTCCCTGTGGGTGACAGAAGGATAGGCATTTGTCCTCTGCTGAGGCCATCAACTGCCAGAGCCAGCTATCAGTCCTGGCCTCAGTTCTGCAGGAGGCACATCCCCTGTGGCCCCACTCAAAGCCTGGCTCTGCTTTCCTTCCTGGTACCCAGGCCTCCCCTGTGGCTTCATCCTGGGGTTTGAAGAAGGAAGTAGCTGTGTGGCCCAGAAACATCAGAGCCCAGCAAATGTACTATACTGGGTACCTGGCACTGCCAGTCCTTTGTCTTTTGGGGGGTTGTACATCTAGCCCACTTACTTGTTTCAATACTTGTCCCTTCTTTCAGGAGCTGGTGGTGTCTTCTATTAAGTCCCAATCCTCCCTCCCTCCATCCTGTGGGGTCACCACTTAATAGAAAAGAACTCGAACATTGCTTTCCCAAGCTCGGTTTTATCTGTTGCTGGCGGACTGAATTAGACCCTCAGCCATTCGTGGCCCTGAATAGACTGGTCCAGTCAGGACCCACCCACACTGTCCTCCAACTTTGAGTTTCCATCCCAACCGCTGCCACCAGTGAGTCCTCTCCCCACACTTGTCCCTGGCCTCACCTCTCCTCTCGCCCAGGTAGCGGATGCGGACCTGGCATTGGCCCCAGACTGCGCTTACAGCGGGATAGAGGGTCCTGCCCTTCAGTCCGCGGAAGGCTGGCCCCAGGTAGGTGCCCCCAACAGCGTAGCCCAGAGTTCCCTCCTCCATGTCCAGTACCACCATCAGCCTCTCCGGCACCACCAGCTGCTCACCCTGAGGTCGGGCTGGATACCGCGGAGCGTCAGACCCCTTACTCTGGTGGTACAGCTTCCCTCGCCCGATGTCCCAACCCCACGACTCGCTGTTGCTGCCCAGCAGCGCCGCATAGTGGTCAGCCTGAAGTGGGGCGCTGGCCGTGGCCACGCCCACCACGGCGTGAGTGCCCCTCTGCTCCCGCGGCCAGCTGATCTCCCAGGCGTGCAGGCCCCGCGAGTAGCCCCTCTTTCCCCGTGCCCCATCCGTGCTCTGGGCCACCGGCCGCCGCTCAAAGCACAGACCCCCTTCCTTGACCACAATGTTCTCGGAGCAGTCCTTGGGGTTCCAGCCGTGGTTCCTTTGGGCCCTCAGATCAAGAGGGGGAGCCGACAGGAGCTCCTCCAAGCCCTCCGGACAAGAGAGGTCAGGGTAGAGGGCCTGCGGGGTGGGGGTGCTGCTACCGCCCCCTGCCAGGGCCGTCTGGCCCATGGAGGTGTGCAGCCGACTGACTCCCCCGGAGAGTCTTGCTGGACGCCTCTCTTGTAAGTGGAGCTCCCAGAAGGACTGACCTGGAGGGGAAATAGGAGGGGAAAAGGACTGAAGCGCAGTACCTTGGGGAGGGGTCCTCACCTAGGCGCCCTGTCCTTTCCCCATGCGCAGACCGGCCCGCGACCCCAAAGCACTTGGGTCCATCACCCTGCCTGCACCCCATCTGTGCCGCGTCGCACGAGACGCCAAGTCCGCCCTCTTCCGACCTCACCATGGGCCGCCCCCCGTGGCCGCCCTAAACTACTGCCGCCATCGTCCCCAACCTCGCCTGGCCTCCCTCCTGGCCGGGGGCCGCGGATCTCGGGAGGAAGCGGAGAGACGCGCAGAAGCACCGGGATCTGTGGACACCGCTTCCGCCTGCAGTGCTGAGCCTCGCCCCCCGGCGGTTAACCCGCCAGTCACCGCTCAGGACACGCCCCCGACACGCCCCCGGAACTCGCTGGGCGGTTAGCGCGGCTTCCGGACCGCGGAGCGCGCTGCGCCGGTCTTGCCTGCCGGTGTTGGATCCTGCGCGCTTTGGTGAGGCTCTGGTCACCTCCCTGGGACGACCTGCGCGGAGAGGCCTCCAGGACAGTATCTCTCCCGTCGCCCCACCCGGGTTGTCCCCACTCTGAATGAACCTTCTGATGACACACCGCGCCTTGGAATCCCTGTTGGTTACCTGGGCGGCCGGCTCCTGAGCTCCTGAGTATAAGGGGTGTGGGTAGAGGAGGGGCCTCCACTTGACGGTCTAGTTTCCAAGTCTCTGAGATTGTGAGTCATTGATGGGGTGGTCTCTTTCCGCCCTAGGCCGGACCCAGCCTGCGCTGGCACCACAGATTCCAGGGAAGCGTTTATTCTACTGAGCCATCTCCCCGGCCCCCAAATTTTTATTTTTATATTTATTTTGGCGGAACCAGGGTTTGAACCCAGGCCCTTGCTTATTCTACTGAGCCATCTCCCCGGCCAAGCACCACAGTTTCTGAACTGTACCTTGGGCCTCAGGCCGTTTTTAACACTGCAGTCAGTCCCTTCCTAGACAGATGGTCTCTGTCAGTCTGTAGAGCACAGGGATAAGACTGTTGTTTTGAGATGTGGCTGTCACCAGACCAGAGTTGAAGCATCCTCCAGCCTCAGCCTCCTGGTGTGGCTAGGTTGTTCCAAGTGACACCTTGGGGAGGTTGCCAACCTATCAAACTTGTTTTCTGCTATGTAAAGTGGGAATAGGGATGGTACTTAGGTTGTCTTAGAGTTGAAACAATCTTGGTGAAACCAAGCAAGGTGGCATGTACTTGTAACTCCAGCTACTCAGATGGCTGAGGCAAGAAAATTGTGACTTTGAGGTCAGCCTGGGCAAAAAGAGCTTAAAAAAAAAAAAAAAAAATCCAGATGGAGGATCTAGCACACAGAGCCTGGTGCAAAGCAAGCACTATGAGCATAACTTGTTTAGTGAACATTTCCTACATGCTATTCTCTAGCAAGGCGACATGAACGATGCCAAGACACTGAACCAGACTGGGCATGAACACCTGCAAGCCAGTATGCGTTGAGCTCCTGTGCTTGTTTGTCAGACTTTCCATGAGTATCTTGCATAGCTATAGACAACAAGCTTATATGGAACGAACTTATCTGTAAAGCATTTAGAGCAGTTTCTGGCTCTAATTCAGTGACTTGTGCTAAGTATTGAAGATGTAATAACGAGTCTTCAAAGAGGATTTGAAGACATTTATAAAGGTTTGGGATGTAATTCTTTTGTCCTAGCACTCTGGAGGCTGAGGCAGGAGTTCAAGGCCAGCCTGGACTAAGTATGGAGGCCCTGTCTCAACAAAACAAAACAAAGCAAAATAATAATAATAATAATTTTTTTAAATAAATTTTATTTATTTATTAGAGAGAGAGAGAGAGAGAGAGAGAGAGAGAGAGAGAGAGAGAGAGAGGTGTGTGGCCAGCTCAGCCCACCAGGGGGCGGGGCTGGCTGGCATGTGGTGCTGGGGGATCGAACCGCGGTCCCTGATGCTTTGCTAAGCTTGTTCTAAGTAGGTGCTTTAGACCACTGAGCCATCTCTCCAGCCCAATAATAATTTTTAAAAAAATAAAAAATAATAATTTTTAAAAAACGGCATGGTGGCACTGGCCTGTAATTCCACCACTTGGGAGGCCAAGGCAAGAGGATCTTTGAGAGTTTGAGACCAGTCTGGGCCTTTACCAAGTGAGCGCAAGGCTAGCCTGAGCTGCATTAGCAAGATGCTGTCTCAAAAAGACCAAATAAATAAATAAATAAATAAAAATTAAATAAAAATAAAAAATTAAAAAATACATAAAAGGACTGAGGGCAGTGCAAAGGCCCTGTGTTCAGTCTCCAGTACCGAGGGGTGGGGAATGTAGGTCAGTGTCAGGGCTCTTGCTTAGCATATGCACGTGTGGACCTGGGATCCACCCTCAGTCTCGCTTCCCCCAACAAAGCTTGCCTAGGCCCACCAAAAGGCTGGTACATCATGTACATAGTAACTGGTTTTTGTTTACTAGTACATCATTTACATAGTAACTTGTTTTCTAGTACATCATCTACATAGTAACTTGTTTTTGTTTACTACTGCTGGTAGAGAACACAGGGCCTCCAAGCCTGAGCTACACTCATCCTGGCATGTATTTCTACCTGGCACAAATTCTTGTAGAATTGCTGAGTTACACAGAATTACAATGTTCAAATTTAGCCACATTTAATACATGGGCTTTGTTTAGAAATTAAGTCATTCAGGTATTTTACAGCAAACAGGGACACCAACAAATTTAGGAGGATTTAAACTGATCTTCCTATTCATCCTTGTCTTTTGAGGGTGATTTTATTAGCTCCCAAAGCTTTTTATTAGAGTTTTTCTGTGGCTCTCAATATTTTAATGCCATGCTGGCCTTGCCGCCGGGCATGCTGAGAAGCAATTGAGACTGGGCTTGGTGGTGCATGCCTGTCTCACTACTAGATCGGACTCGTAGTGATCTGCCTGTTTACAGCCTCCCAAGAGGTAGGATTCCAGGCATGCACCACCAAGCCCAGTCTCAATTGCCATCTTAGAGCATCCCAGGGTGGGACTGGAACAGCAGGCCTGTGGATTGAATCCCTGGCCCCTGGCCCCTGGCCCCTGGCCCCTGCCCCTGCTTGCAAGCGCTTTAATCCACTGAGCTATTTCATCGCCCTGTAATCCCAGCTCTTGGGAGGCTGTGAAGAGGCGGATCACTATGAGTCCGATCTAGTAATGAGACCCTGAACACCTTGTAGACCCTTCCCTAAAAAAATAAAAAGAAAAATTTTAAATTAGGAGCCGTGGTGCACACTTGTAATCCCAGCTGCTTGGGTGATGCAGTACAGTCCCTAATTTGATGACAGCTTGTGCAACTCAGTGGGAACCTGTCTGTAGCTCAGTGAGGCCTCGAGTTCAATCTCCAATCCTGAAAAAGAAAAAATTCAGGTTTTTTTCCTTTTGGCCATTTTATCCTGCCCTAAGGGTGGGGCTGGTACAGCACGTGGTGCCAGGCATTGAACCACTGTCCCTGTATCCTTGCCTAAACTTGCCTGAGCAGGTGCTTTAAACCACTGCGCTATCTTGCCAGCCCAAAAACGTCAGTTTCTTCTTCAGTGATATCTTACAAAACCACCCTGATCTGCTTCCTGGGCCACATGAATAATCAGCTTCACCGTTTTCCTGCAGAAATCATTAAAATCCCAACCATATTCATCCAGTGCACACTTTTTGTTTCATGTAAGTGATGCAGCTGGTGATCCCAAGGACATCAGCTCACATCACAGTGAGAGGAAGCTCAGCATCCCGAGAGCACAGTGAATCGTGCTGGGTGAGTGGTCAGTTGGGCAAGTGACAGTGCGGAAGTGGGACTACCCAAGGCCTTTACAAGGAAAACCAGGTAAGTGTGCAGGATACTGGACGGTACAACTGTGAGGCCTTGCACCAAAGCTGCGTCTGTCCTCTGCGAGGTTCTGCTCAACTGAACCACCTATTTATTTTTGACGGAACCGTGGATTGAACACAGGCCCCTACACTTGCCAGGCAAGCACTTATTCCACTGAGCCATCTCCCCAGCCTATTTTCTCTTTTTCACTACATATTTCAGGCTGGCCCTGACCTCACTTTTTTAAAAAATATATATATTTTAGTACAGAGACTACAGGGTCTCACTACACAGATCAGACTCATTGATCCTCCTGTTTTCAGCCTCCCAAACACAGGGATTACAGGCATGCACCACCACGCCCAGTCTCAGTCCCCTATCTCAGCTCTCCCCAGGGGTGGGTCTGGCACAGCATTCTGGATTGAACCCCGATCCCTGCAGCTGTCTAAGCAGGCACTTTAGTCTGCTGAGCTATTTGGCCCTTGAACTCACTTTGTAGCCCAGGCTACAAAGGATTTGCTGTGATCCTCCAACCTCCTCAGCCTGTCAAGTACTGGAATTACAGGTGTAGGCCACCATGCCTGGCCCAAAGTCTCTTTTGTGGTGCTGAGATCCAACCTAGCATTTTAGCCATGCCTGGTAAATGCTCCCCCTTTTCCTGGTGTTAGGGCTTGTGTCTAGATGTCCCCTCAAAACCTCAAGCAGTCATGGGGAAGACTAAATTTTAGAGTTTGTGATTAATTCAGAATCCAATGCTGGGATTATGGGTGTGAAGGCTACACCCTCCTTGGGTTGGACAGCCTGAATACAATATAAGGGAGGGAGGGAAAGAGCCTTGCTCTCTGCCATTACTCTTCCCTTTTGCTTTTGCTGCTTTTGCTGTTGGCTGCTGCCATGAACTGTTGCCCTCTGCCAAGTGCCACTCTGCCTTGGAACCAGCTGAGTATGGACTGAAATCTCCACAGTATATTGGGTATTTTGTCCCAGAAATGAGAGAGAAAAGTAACAGACACCTGGTATACTGAGGATTAAACCCAGGGCCACATACATGTTAAGCATTTGCCACTTTTGCCATGTCCCAACACTGTTAGGCATGCATTATTTCTGGTTCATATTCTCCAGCAATGTTTAATTTGTCTTCATTAAAAATTAGTTATACTGTATTGTCATTGTAGCAGTTTCAAAACCCAATGAGCCAGGCTGGTGAGATGGCTCAGTGGTCTAAAGCACCTACTTAGAACAAGCTTAGTAAAGCACAGGGACTGCGGTTCAAAATCCCCCAGCACCACGTGCCAGCCAGCCCCATCCCCTGGTGGGCTGAGCTGGCCACACAGACAAAATAAATAAATAAAAATTATTAAAAAAAGAAAAGACTTTTAAAAAAAATTAGTAATACTGTATTGTCATTGTAGCAGTTTCAAAACCCAATGAGCCAAGCTGGTGAGATGGCTCAGTGGTCTAAAGCACCT